AAAAAAAAAAACAGCTCTCTCTCTCTCTCTCTCCATTTCCCCATGGTTGAAATTTTATCAATTCCTAACCCACTTAAATTCCCCACTAAGAACATCTCAAAATCAAATAGCAACCTTTTAATGATTGATACGAAGTATATGATTAAATGCTACCATATTTTCCTCCAAAAATAACATAGTTTCATCCAACTGGAAAATGTTCTAAAAGATAATCACAAACCAAGAATAAGAAAAATATACAAAAATATAAACAAAGAAATATTAGAACGGAGAGAGAAAGAATTATCAATTGTTCAAAATGAATTAAAAAAAAAAAACATGCATAAGTTTATGTTGAAATGTATCCTGACTGCCCCCTCCTGCACAATGAATGTTGATTAATATCATTCTGAATTTAGGAGTAAAATAGTCCTCCTTTCGGACCAGTCTGAGAACCGTCCATTATATCTCCATGAAAAAAGAACAATGTGTATGTGCGACATATATATCTCACAAGAATTTGGAATGATAAAATTGAAAAAATTACATCAGGAGTTACATAAGGGAGCCATTACCTTCGCATTGCAGTCATCTCGTTCGGTAATCTGTTGCAAAAGCTGCTGATTTTGAATCTGCATGTCATCATATGCCTGCCCTATGGTCTGTAGCAGATAAAAAATCAATCCCTTCGCCTAATTTAAGATAAATAATACAACCAAATAACGTAATAAAAAATAAAAAATAAAAATGAACCTCAATCTCGGACATATAGGCATCCGTTTCTTCATTTTTGGACTTGAGAGTATCTGAAAGTCTTGCTTTCTCCCTGTAACAGAAGTGGGTAGAATTTTTCAGAATATCCAAGAATTAGAATTTTCATACAGAATATGCTTGAATCTACTCAATTCAATTATCAGCTCCAACAAACCATCCATGTAACTCTATATCTATCATGTACTTCTCAAGACATTATTATTCCGTAATAATTCTAACATGCAAACTCATAATCATTATTATCACAATAGAACTCGTATGGTCTTTTCACATGTACTTTATATATGCTTCCTCATGTCAGAATTAGTACAAATTTAATGTTTCTAAATATAATCTATGTCAATAATGAAGATGACTAGTTTTAGCCTTGTATTGTGTGACTAGCAAATGGAATTGAACAAATCATCTGCAACTGCTGAAGCAGAAATGTAACAAAAATATTACCATAATTTAAAGAGTAATGTGGGAAAAGGAGTTCCTACATAAAAAAAAAAAAAAAAAAAAAAAAAAAAAAAAAAAAAAAAAAAAAGCAAGGTAATTTATGTGGAAAACCAGTTTTCTCCAATAAACCAAACAACGAAAACAGATTTTCGAGCAAAAGAGAAAGATAAAGTAACAATAAAAATCACTAATTTTCAGCAAATATTGATAAGAGAAACAATCCTTTTAGATGCCTCCAACTTCTGTCTAAGCTCTGCAATCTCAGCTTCCGAGGCAGCTAATGTCTGTTGAGCTTTTGCCTCAGCTTCAATCGCAACTTTAACTCTCAACTCCAAATTCCGTTCATCAAGAGAAGAATTGAGACTTTGAACATGAGCCCAAGCCTTAATCTCTGAACTTCTAGCTTCACTAACTTCCCTGCATACAAATTAATGTTTAAAAAGTAGAACAGTATTTAACACAGTTTCAGTGTTTAATAGGGAATAGATAAAGAAGTTACCATCAAAAAATTTCACATAATTGTTGAAAGGATCAACTATATTTGTCAGAAATACAAATATCAATCAAGGCACTATATAACAAGTATGAAGGAGGTAGTTGTAATTCTGTGAGATTAAAGTCTTTTCGTAATTAAACTTCCCGAGCTTGCATATAATCACTGGAATAGAAAAAAAAACAAACAAACAAACAAAAAAACTCCATAAAAACAAGACTAAGGCATGCCAACCTTGGATCAGTTGATTGATGATCATACATTTCCAAAAAAAGCTTCATGTCTGTTTCAGTACATTTTAAGTCTCTAATCTGCATCCAAATTTTAAAAGTTGTGGAAGTTCAAGATCAAATCTACATTTCTGATAGCAAGAGTCACAGTTATTACTCGTCCTTGTATTGTAATCACAGCAAATTACACAGGGCCTCACACCTCTTCAAGAAAAAAAAATTGACGTGATATCGAAATATGCAGCACATTCCCAAAATCTTGAATTAAAAACAGCAACAAATCATACCACAGACTGTAATTTTTCAATTTCAGAATTTTGTTGAGTGGATCTGGAAGTCAAAGCCTCCAACTCCTTAGACTGCAGACACACATTCGCACAAACATATGATCTACAGTAAGGTAATAGTATTAATCAATGGGCTATATATAAGTTGGAAGATGAATTTTAGCATATAAAATCTGACCTTTCGGTCGAGAATCATCCTTAGGGATTCAACATGAGCTCGCAAAGAGTGAATATCTGCAGCAGTCTCCTTGTGCTTGGCTAGCTGATTTTGCAAGCTTCCCATTTTCTCAGGAAAGCACGAAACTAACGCTTTGAATTCCATAATGATTTCTTTCTTACCTATAATAAGTGAAAGCGTTCTAGCTAAACTGAACCTAAGAAGCATTATGGACAAAAAACTCTAAAGTTTATTTCATACCTGGTTCTTTTGATGCTTCTTCCATTTTGGACTCAATTTCATCTCTCTCTTCAATGTGTCTCTGTATTTCTACTTCCAAGTCCCTTATTCTGGAGCTGGCAACTGATGACGATCGATGAAGAACATCCACGAATTCATTTTTCATGTGAAATTCTTTTTCTCGCCAGTACAGACTTTCTTTCTCGACCTGCAAGTAAACACACTTGAGAAGCATTCTACGAACAGAAAACTGAAAGCAAAATATGAAACTACCATCTGATAAAACCTGAAATTTCTCTTGTAAAGCTTGATATTGTGCAACATCTGTTTTAGCCTTCGTGAGTTGATCTTTCAGCAAGAGATATGCTCGGGATGAGCGAATACAATTGACATTCTTTAGATTGCTCTGTGAAGTACATAAGTATAGCTAATTAAAGAAGCTACAGGGCACGCATAACAAGAAAGGAAAGAGAATAATGTGAATACAAAATGATATATAAGAACAAATTTAACCTGCAAACTCGTCAAATGTTTTAGAATGTTTAACCTATCTTCATGAAGTCGCTTGAGCTCTTGCAGTCGAGACGTAGATTCTTCCTGAATAGGGAAATAAATTCATTAATCCATTTTACAGATTGAATTAGATACCATCATCTAAAGAAAAAAAAATGTAATTACCACTAGCTCGTTCAGTGTGGACTCCATGTCTTGCAGATCTCTCTGGTTATCCCTTGCGTGATCACTATTTACGTGCTTATTTTGCCGGTTGAGAACAGGGTACAATTGCCCCTTTGTCACATCCCTTTCGGCTTTTGAAACTGCCAACTTGCGATTACTTTCTTCCAATTCAGAGATGGTACTTTCTAACTCTCCTTTACATGAAAAAAAAAAAAGGAAAATTTCAATAACATTTAAAGGTTTATTTCGTAAATAAGAAATCTCCCAATACGATTACTGATTAAAAGAATCATTAGAATGAGATAATTATTTTTCATCCGCAAGTAGTACAAGATAATGACTGATAAGGTAAAAAATAAACAGAAGAAATACCCAAATTACCCCCACCCCCAACCCCAATGAAGTTAAAAGTAAAAAGGTTCATCCATGCTATACCCAGAACAAAGGGGACCTTTCTAAAGAAGAAAATAGAAGAATCAAATTCAGGAAGCAAGTTATCCTTGTCCGTTTATAAAGAAACATATCATAATATACGCTAGACCAATACAAAAAGAAACATAGACATGCATTTTTAAGCAAGGGTGCAGAACATGACGATTTGTATGCAAGAACATACATTTTCCTCATTCGACAATACAGCTGACTTTGTAACTACTCTCAGAAGTGTTTGGAGATGGAAAACTTCTCAACTATTACAAATCAAATAATTAAATTTCACTTTATTACATTAACAAAAAAAAAAATAACATCCACAGGTACTAGTAAACAACAACATCACAATTGTCAGAATAGTAAAATGTATCAAAGAGACATAAGGTTTTGACAACTGGCTTGTCAAATATGAACTAACTACAGTGTATTAATAAAAAATTATCATCAAGAATACCTTCCAAACGCTTCAAATCAGCTTTATTCTTTGCATCAGTATCTCTATGGTTCTGAAGTTCACCAGCTAGTTCTCTGTGTTTCAAGTGAAGCTTAAGCACTTGTACTCTCAAATTCTTAATGGCAGCCTGCAAATCTGAAGAAACCACCGCTTTCTGGCCCTGTCCTACAATGAGTGAGAAGAAAGGGAAGTGAGTGATAAGCAGATAAAAAGCGTAAATAATCTGTTTCTGGAGGAACAAAAAAAAAGTCTAAGCACATTTTCTACAATGATCTTACCAATAGATGAGACTGCCTTCTGAGAGGCAGCATACAGTCTATGCTTCAAGCTGTTCAGCTCATCAAAAGAAGCTACTATATTGTGGAGTATGTTTTTCATCTTCATCGTGTTTCCACTATCTACCTTCCGCCTTTCTTCAGTTGAATTCGCAATTATGCAGGCTGAGCTACTTTCGGTTGCCCCTGTTTCTAAGAGTCGGCTCAGGATAGCATCCTCGGGAGCTGATTCACAATCTATCGAAAGGTACTTGTTATAACTTTTTCAGGAAAATAAATGAATGAGGAAGAGGAAGGATACTGGCAACTAGAGAAGGGTGATAAACAAGCAAAAACACATAAAAGGGTTTAAAACGGGAAAGACAAAAAAAAGTTCAGATGGGGGAGAAACAAAACCATAAAGATCCCGCCTTAATGCTCGAAAGAAGGATAAAAAGAAAAAAAAAAAGAAAACATATGAACCCACGTGTATTTATTCAAAATATGACTACTATCCTGGCAACAAGAAACAGAAATTTCTATTAAAATAATAAAATTCAACATAGTTATACAAAGATACATGGTACCCAAAAATTAACATAGAATTTGTATATTGTACAGATATGTAAAGAACACCACATGTAACCAGATATAGAGCGTACAAACATCACAGAAAATCCCCTCTTAAGAACATGAATTCCACAGCAAACAATAGCTCATTTGTAAAATCTTATAGAAGACTCAAGTTGCTGAATAAACAGAAGTAGAACGAAGATGAAATACATAAAATGGGGCTCCTCCAATAGGCACCACTCACCGTCTTTAACTAAATGGCAATCAAAACCTCTCCCATGTCTCACAGAGTCCAGTGTACAATTAGAACGTGATTCAAGGTCATCCACCAGCTGTTACAAATGGAACTAATGTCATTATGGGTAGGCAATATTTGCAAATTCAGATATATCTACACATTGTAGCCGTGTGCATTAGGTAAATGATGTAAATTGCGAGATTCTACATTAATGGCTGCACCCTACCACTTGAAGAAAGATTATAACATCGACTAACACACAAATGAGATGTGCGTTGAGGGACTCGAACCCATTAAGGACACAAAAGTAAGTTTGAATTTAAAATGAAGCAGTGAATAACAGGAAACAAATCCATCAAAGTTATGTACCTCTTCCCATGAGTTATTGACGATAGAGAGGATTTTCGCATGTGATTTTTGCTTGTCTTTCAACAGCAAAAATTTATCTTCAAGAGCATTAATCTCACCCTTCTGTGTTTCCAGCTTCTGCAAGAGTTTTTGATTTTGAAACTGAAGCACAGTGGCATCAAGCTGCATAAATGAAATTTTGAACTATTAGGTGTCTGTAGTTAAAAGACTTCTTTCAGAAGAAAAATGTACCATAAAAGCAGATTGGATCTTACCCAAGAACCAAACTTAAAAATGAACCAAAATCGAATAATCAGCTTGTTCTCTCTCATTTAAGAAGATTGGACCATTCCCAAGTTGCTTATTTGAAATGGACTGAAATTCTTAGACCGTACAATAAATGCATTGCCCTATTGTTGTGGAATAAATTGATGTTGCAACCGTCCTTTTATTAGTCCAATAATTGCTTAATATATCAAATTTAAAGCAAAAACAACACATAATAAGCATACATACAAATTGGCACATGCACTTTAGCATCTTACAATGTAAGACAGATAATTTACCAAAAAAGGAACCTCGTTAACAGAGTTAATCATGACGCAGTAGCAACTAAAATCGTGTAAAAAATGCAAAAGCATATCCCCAATGTGATAATTCCATCACTTCCAAAAATGCCCGAACCGACATAAAAATCTAAGCAGCTTATCGTGAAAACATATCCTCTTTAAACACCACTTCCATGTAGATCATCACAATTTTTCTAAATAACAATCAAAGCAATGGTAAGAAACAAGCTATACACATGAAACCCAGAAAATCAAATAGCATTTGGTTAAAGTTCCAAATAAATTTTAACCAAGTGGTGAAAGGATGACAGAGAAGCCAAAAAAACAGGACAAAATATACAATGGTGGTTACACCACTTTTCCAGCTCTACCTCCGAAAGATGGGGTGTTGTAGAGGAAATCTTTCCATATTATTTCCATCATTAAAATCCAGCTTTTGTTTGAAGCCGATTGTCCGTTAGTTAAATTCTCACATCCTAGATCATTTGAGCAAAAGAAATAGAACTTTTGGCTCTAAGCTCAAACACAAAGCCCAGCAGCTCCATCAAATAAAACAAGTTAATCTTTATCCATCCAACTAATCTGACATTTAAAAGAAAACAATTCAATAGATACCTTACTCTAAACTAAAGACAGCACCCTAAACATAAATTTGAAACATAAATCCCGGTACAAATTCCAGGATGCAAGGACATAAATTACATTTTCCCATATCTTAAGGTTACTGAAATGGAAAAAAGGTAGCTCATACCGCATCTACATATGTAACTAAATACTAACTAATCATGTTTACAGCACAATTCCACCCAAGTTCCCTTGTACCCTAATTAATATAAATTGAAAAACCCCAGCAAGCGAAAAATACTTCACGCAAATGATCACAAACCGAAATCATAACCACTTAATCACTGCAATACACTTCATCCAATAAAACAACAACTAAATAGCCTCAGCAACCACACATACTTCAAGCGATAATCATTGATACAAAACTCAAATTCACTGTACTCGATAATCGCTATTAGAGCAACTCAGTAGTCTCAGAAATCTAAGAGAATAAAAAGTAAAAAAATTAACCTTTTTCTCCTCAGATAACGGCGCATGAGGCCGTTTCTTCCCCACAGCACCTGCTGGCGATATGGAGCTAAAGTGACGCCTTTTCTTGTCAGCCTCACCTGTACTGCCCATTATAGTTCCACCACTCAAAACCCTAGAAACATCACACCTCCTTGTAGGGGGACAAAAAGGACAACTAGAAAACTTTATATTCTATAACCAATGTACAAGAGGGCTTTGTAATTCAACACACAAACATGCATAAAAATATGCTT